GAGTAGCACTCCTCGTGACAGTTAAGTTCTTACGTATTCCTTGAAAGTAGACATCTTTGCAGAGGAGAGAGATTCTGTAAATGCCTCCTTTGAACTGATGAGTGCAGGCCTAAGCTCATTCAGCTCCAGAGAATTCATTGAGGAGATGGCCCTTATAAATACCAGGAAAGACTTCTTTACCATACTCAGTCAACCACAACAGACAACCTGTAGGAAATCAGACCTTGTTAGCTCTGGTGCTCGCAATTTAAGAGGAGCTGAAAATTACCTGGCTGAAAATAATCACCACTAGGCCTGACTGAAAGGTTAGGGGTGCTTCAGGCTGGGAAGGGCCCTCACCACTCAGAGCAGCTCGAATTGTCACACCGGTATTTCATTTTCCATCGTCCCCTCCACGGATTTGCAGTATGCATGGATAAATTGGAACGTGGGAGAGGTATATTCTCTTCCTGTGGTTTGCTGTACTTCATCTTCCTCTTCTGTGTAACAGAGAAAAAAATTGAAGCAGTATTAAAATGCTGGGAAAAAAATGTTACTATTTGAAGGGTTCAAAGATACTGCATGATGAAACAGGTCACAAGTAGGGTAGAAAGAAAAGAATCACAGGCATGCCCCGTATTTGAAACTGGTTTAGGAACAAAAGCAGCAGGTGTCCTTTGAATGTGGAAATCAGTGACAAAACCAGGTAGTTTGTAGCTGTGTTTTTTTATTTAAGATATGTTAACAAATCATGTAGTTGTGAGTATGCATGTGTAAAATACAAAGAGTAAAAACATGTTTCTTAGATTCATGATTATAGATGATGAGCATATTCCACCGAAGTATTTTCTATAACTCCCTATACATTTCTGCAAATATGTCCATGATGCCTCTTAATAACTTACGAAGTCTTTCATAAATCCAACATTACTGTAGCATGCCAGCCCCTTTTCGCTTCTATCCTTGCTGTCTTTTTATTTAGTTCTTAAGGTACCCATGAGAAATTATGCTTTATTTCGTCTGTCCTACTCCAATTCTCAGCATTCAAAGCAAAAAATTAGAAATGCAGCTAAACAATTTGTTCGTATTGCTGAACATCAAATATTAATAAATAAAATTTCCAGTTATTTAAGTTTATATTAATAATTTGAGAACGTCTGTTTGCACCTGACTTATCTTGGTATCTAGGCTGTTCCATTGCTCTGAAATCTAATGGCTCTGTTGCTTTGTGTTTTACTTAATGCCCCTGCTCCTGCTCTTTCCAAGGTTCCAGCACTTCTTTACTTCTGTAATTCTGTGGACTTCCTCCAGCTGTTTAGAAGATCTTTGCGCTTTCCTTTTTTTAATGGTGGATTTCACAGATGTTTCCCTGGATTTCTCCTTTTTTCCTCTGTTCTCACCACCTCTTTTTTTTCTGATCATATAATTAGATCTGCCTGTTGGCCACTTTCCATCTCAATTTAGAGTTTTAGAACCTTATGGCAATTTTTATATCCTTCTGGATGTTTCCGTCTTTAAACTTTCTGTAGATCTTTCTTTAAATCCTTCCTTGTTATTCTTCCCTAACTCACAAATCCATGCCTTCCTGTCTTTCAGTGGAACTTTTTTGGTTTTGTTTCTTTACTTGTCTTCACCTGTCGGATTTTGCCAATTTTGTCATCCGTTTTCTACAAGACCTGCGCTTCTTCTCTCTCCCATTTCCAAGTGTTTATTCTATGTGCAGTACTGCAATTACCTTCATTCTACTAGTAAACATAACCTTAAGAATAATTTATATTACATTGGTAACGATACTTAATACTGGTAGAAGTATTGAGCAGGGGCGGTCAGACAATTTTTAATCATACTTTTTAAACTAGACTTTTCATAACTCATGCATTCACCAATCCAGAGAAGAAACTGGCTCTTCTGAACTCTTTTTCTCTTGATTCCTGTTCTTTGGTCTTCCTTTATTTTTCCTGTAGAATTACTACTAGTGTGGGAAAAGTACTTTCTGAGGAGATGGTGCGTACTGCTCTATTTACGGTGGAGGTTTTGGTGACCAGAAATAGTTACCTAAACTGTCTCAGGGTGGTCTGGTGGGTGGGCAACCGAGTCATGAAATTGTAGCTTGGTGAATGTGTGAATTGTGAGATCGGTGATTTTACAAGTCAGACAAACTAGCCCTGTTGTCCTGCTCAGAATTACCATCCGGTACTTAGCGTTGCTAAAGTTAGTGCAGTTATTTATAGCAATTAATTCCGCATGTAATTTCTCAAATGAAGGCCTGAATCAGTAAATACATCAAGAAGCATGAATAAGCAGACAGTTTCTTTAAGTTGTGGTTGCTTCTATGATACCGTATTAAAGCAGTGACTTGCAGAGATTGATAACTGTGCAGTTCTCTGAGTTTTCTTTTATAAATGCTTTCCTGAGCAAAGCTTTGCCTGGCTACAGTCTTAGCTGTGTTCATTTTTCTTTCTGTTGCTGCTTTACAGACCCTTACGAATAATTGCATTTGTAATCGTGGCCAATAGTCGCTGCTCAGTAATAAAACATAGAGTAAAGGAAACCTATCTGCATTAAAGTTTTATATGATATTGTCCTTACATAAGGTGGTTTTAAACTTTGGAGTCAATGAATGCTTAGCGTTTTAAGCAACTTTAACACCCTGTTTCCTGGTTGCCCTTAAATTTAGAATGTTACTTGCTTTTGGACTGAAATCTTCCAGGACTAACTTCTGGGCATAGGTGAATGTTTTAGCAATTTTTAAGTCAGATGTTGAGGCAGGGATTTGATTTTATGAAGAATACATCCCTAGTGGTTTTCCTGTTTGTTTGCTTTTAAACAATGCTGTAACTTAAGCACTTGGGGAATTTCGTTTGGAACAGCCCAGGTTAAAAGAAATAGTAATAAACGTGATTTTGATTTAATGAAGTTTTGGGGCTGGTTTTTTTTTTTCCAGTGTTTATGCCACGGTACAAATCCTATCTGCACTGGCATTCCACATCTGCAAGCAGAAATATGCATATATGGTTTATTTCGGTTTTATGCATATCAGCAGGCTGAAATGATTGGTTTGCATCAGTAGAGTACTTCTGTCCTTAAGGTTTGCATTAGTGCAGCTGTACCCATGTTGAAATGATATCTGTCGGTATGAACAAAGGAGGCCTCAGCTGCAAATATGTAGAAGATACATGCTATGGATGTGCACTTTATACACTCTGCTCAGTTAACTTCATGATGTAATTACAGTTAAGATGTGTAATTCTGGGGCAAGCACCCATATCCATTTTTCAGCAAGTTACTTTAAACATTAGGGATTTGTTTTGAGGTTTTGTGTACTTTATCTTTTTTTTAACAGAGAGAAGCGATGGAGTTGTTTGGATTCGTTTTGTTTAAGGTGTAGCACTCCTCCACAACTGAATAGGGAAGTTATGAGTGCAGTTAGCCTTTATGTGCTCTTATTGTTGCCACCTAGAGCTTTTTATTAGTAACATGCAATTGTTCTGCTCTGTTATGTAAAACACATGGGCTTTTTTCTTTTTTGTAATTTCCACATACCTAAAAATTCTGTTATTTTGAGAGTAAGTCCTCAGGCAACCTGACCTTCAGTTTGTATATGACTGGGGGAAAGGCAGGGGTACTCTTCAGGGAAGTAGAAGCAGACTGTAGGGGATCCTAGGAGGCATAAGATACTGCTTTGGTGATTGGAGAGAGTTCCAGCTTGAACTCTTTCCTCAGTGCAGTAGGTTGAAGGGATCTGTATATGTTGTGCAGAGAGCACGCAGTCTGACGCTTCTTCAAGAGAAGAAGAGATTGCTAAAGCACGGACCATGCACTTCGTGGGCCTATAGCTGAAGAAAGCCTAAGCAACTTTAATTTTGATATTTTTTGACTAAGGAATTTCAGCTTGCTTAATCAGTTCTCTGTGTAAATGTATTGTATTTAGTATGAAATTCCACCTTGTTTTAGAGAGTAGGAATCAGAGTTGCGTTTCATGCTACAGGGGGGTATCAAATGGACTGAACTTTCATTTCACTGGACTTCTGGTAAAATTTCACCAGTTCTGTTTTGCAGCTAGACTGTTCCAACAAAATCAGCACAGAAACTTGCATATTAAAGTAAACACTCTATATTCAGATGGTTTCCTCCCCCTTCTCTCATCTCACACTCTTTATTTGAGATTCTCTGGGAAAAATGAGCTCTGTCACTTTACCTTGTGGCATAATTATGTATGCCACATAATTATGTGGCATAATAAATAAACAGACCATTTATTCTTCGTCTGTTAAGAATTATTCCAAGGTAAACACTATTATCTTTAGCTCAGCTATAGTTTGGCTCCTGCAGACTTTTTTTTTTTTTACCCTTTAGTCCTGAAAATCTTTTGACGTCAGTTCTACAAGTATCTGATGTGTCAAGAGGACCGTGCAGTGTTTGCAGTGTATGTTTACAGAGAGCTGCTGCAGACTGTTAGTTGGGTACTTTGCTGGTATTTTCTTGTCTGTACATTACTCACTATATGGTAGCTTTACTTAACTGTAGTTTTGAAAGCATGATTAACGTTTGAATTTCTTTGACCTTTAAATATGACAAAGTCATCCTGTGATATATTTATGTCAAGAGTTTTTTCAACAGTGGAGCTTTCCATTAATAGTAGCATCTTCATTTGTTTTGTTTAGGCATCATAATCTTAGGCTGGAGCATTAGCTTCACCCCAGAGAGAGTAATGTCTATACATGTAGTACAGCTGTACTGAAGGAGTTATATAAAACAACCTGAAACCTTGAGTAATTACTTTACAATATTACATTTGCATATTTCCACATTGCAAATAGTTTTAAAAATTGGCAACAATGGAATTTGAAAACAACCTCCATTCATCTGCTCCCCACATGAAAACTTTGCGGCCACCACAGGACAAAATACAACTTCTATGCTCAAGCCAGAAGCAATTAGGCTTGGCTAGACAATGAGAAAATCTCCAAACTATTTAAACCATAAAAGTGGAAAAAACAGAACGTTATGTTTTATTGCAGGTTCGGGAACTGCAAACACGTTTGCAAAGCGTGCAGGCAACAGGCCCATCCAGCCCAAGTCGTCTCACTTCTGCCAATCGACCCATTAACCCCAGCACGGGAGAGCTGAGCACAAGCAGCAGTAGCAATGACATTCCTATAGCCAAGGTGAGCTATTGTGTGTTGCAGTAACGCTTCTCATTATCTGGGAGAAGCGGGCTTCATTTTGCACAGCAGCTGTGCAAGCATCTGATTAACTGGGAGGTATCTAGAATCCCCAGAGAGTTTTCCGGGGTCCTGAGCAGGCCCATGAACTTGAGCTGCGGAAAGGAATTAAGCGCTAATGATTGTAATTCTCTCAGTTACAACACAGGTGTCAAATTTACAGTAGTTTACTTCAGGTTTGCAAGTGTAGCTAGTGAACAAATGCGTTTTGTGTAATCTTTATGGAGTGTGGGTTCCTGCGTAACCTGTGCAGCATTCTGACTTACAGATTGCTGAAAGAGTGAAGTTGTCAAAGACAAGATCAGAGTCTTCATCATCTGATAGACCTGTCTTAGGATCAGAAATCAGCAGCATAGGGGTAAGGACTAATAATTACGTGCGTGCATGATGCCTTCTGAAGATGACCTGTTCCATTAAAAGCAACATTGTTTTCTTATTAAATCAATATATGAGGTAACTGAAAATACTTTAAAAGTTATTTTGAGAAAAATGTTTCATCAGAGAGTATTTCACCCAATATTAAGATCTCATTTTCTCATAACTGGTGGCTAGAAATCAGTCTCCTAGTGACTTTAAGAGGATAATTTTGGAGTCAATTCCTCCAAAATACTATTCTTCAAGAAAAGACTGTTCAGTTGTATTTCACAACTTCCAATCGACAGAGAACTGGGTTCTGCTTTTAATGCCAATGTAAATCCATAACGCTGTTGTTACTGTGTTAATATTTGTTTCACTGAAGAACTTGGCTCTGACCTTTTGCTGAGCTTTCAAGAAAGTAAATAACTTCCATATTAGGCTTTTTAAATGTATGATGAAATAGGGCGTTCCACCTTTTGGTTAGTAGAATTTTAAATCAAAATAGCGTCTTAAAGTGGAAACACGTAAATGTTCTATTCAATGTAAAATTCATAGTAAAAACTGAATAATGATGCCTTGAAGTGAGTGCATGCAAGCATGTACAGCTTTCAATGCAGACTGCCCTGCGAGAGGAATCCAGTGGTTATCTATTCACAATGATCTATTAACTGCCCTGTGCAGGTGTCTAGTACTGTGGCTGAACATTTGGCACATTCCCTCCAAGACTGCTCAAACATCCAGGAAATATTCCAGACTCTTTATTCACATGGATCTGCTATCTCTGAAAGTAAAATCCGAGAGTTTGAAGTGGAGACAGAGAGATTAAATAGGTAAGGTGGAAAGTTAGATATGCTTAAATGTGTTGTCTGCTATTAGCTTTGTTAAAGTTACTACTTTTTTATCCTTTTCGAACATTTCTTAGTTCAGTCCCAGCTCAACTGTGGTAGCTGCAGATAAACATGGAATGTAGTTGATGAAGAGGAGATTGAATCGTATGCTAAGGATTGTTTCCATTAGTATGACAGTTTGGTCATGCATTATTCGATCAGGATGGCACCTTCACCTGTGACAGTTTGCACTGTAGAGTGTCCTTCTCTATGGCTGACCAAGTAGACATGGCATCTTTTTTCATAAGACACATTACTGCTAGAAATAAGGATTCCCATTACTTATTCTCCATCATTTTGGAATTAGCTTGCTTTTTTTTGTCCTGAAGAAACAGAATTATAGCATTAACTGTATCAATAAATGTGCTGATGTATGGTGGTGTGGCATACATACTAGTAAATAGACTTCTGTCTGCGGAAGAAAGATTGCAGCTTTCTGGTTGCAGTTAAAATACTGCTGGTGTTATCCTTCAATAAGCTCTATCAAAACCAATGCTTCGTGTCCTCTTTGTCACATAAAATCAGGATAAGGAACGTGAGAATCATGTCTCAGCATGTTTCCTTCCAAGTTCTCTTGTCCCCCAGCTATCTCAAATTTAGTCTGATCAATACAATCTCTCTTTTATTTGTAGCTCATGTTTTTGTAGTGCTGCAAAATGTGATACTTTTTTTCTTCGTTTTTCTTTTTTTTTTCTTTTTTTTTTCTTTTTTCTGTGCACTGCACAGTTATGCTTTGACAACATGTGTCCTTATAGGAGGCGTCAAAGAAGATCTAGGAGGTGAAGCATCTGAGAGTTCTAGCAGCTAGGAAAGTCAGGGCTTTATTCTGATTGCTGAGTAAATGGTATACTAGCCCTTCTCCTTCTTCTTGTGTTTGTTAACAAGTCAGTGATTCTAGAGTTCTGGATGGCACTGATTTCTTATTAGCTACCTGTCCAAATTTTGAAATCATTTGCCTGTCTGTTTTCAGTGTATGTCCAACCCTTACGATTAGGCATAGTACATTGATGTGTAGTGCAGTTATCAGCAGTGAGAATAAACAGTTAATACTGTTATTTGGAAGCCTCATTTTCAGATTCAGAGTTAACCTCATTGAGAAGAATATTACAATTAAGTTCTGATACGAGCTTCTCTTTGACTATTGGCAGAACTTTTGGACATGTCATTGCCTCATTGAAGCTTCATTCGTATTTTGGAAGTTTCCTCTCTAATCACAACCAAAATACTGCTTCAAGTGAAACAGTTATTCCGCACGTTCCAAAGAAAGGGGGCATTTATGCAGCTGCATGATCCCTACACACACCCACACATTGCAGTAAGAATATGCCACTTGAAACAAGAAGCAAATGTGGCAGCAGGAAGTGAGGAATGGAGGCAGAAAAATTAAGCAAAAGGTTAATATGAAGCTGCCCTACACAGTCTTGTGGCTACAGAATAAGGGTACAGCTTTCTGCTTGCTGCTGTTGCACAGGCTTATGATTACATAAGGAGAGGAGAAGGAGAAGAGGCCGTCCTAAGAGAAATTACTATCCTCTTGGCTCTTAATATGGGACACAGAACAGATAGATTTTGCCGTCTTCATTAAAAACCTTGTGTAGACCAAATGGTATTTGTTGTTTTAAATTATGATTGTTCTAGAGTTTTCAGGACAGTGTCTGCAAGCTAAGCTTGAAGGTTGCAAATTACTTCCTTTTCTACAGCCGTATTGAGCACTTGAAATCCCAGAATGACTTGTTGACAATAACACTGGAAGAGTGCAAGAGCAACGCCGAGAGGATGAGCATGCTTGTTGGGAAGTACGAGTCCAATGCCACAGCCCTCAGGCTTGCATTGCAGTACAGGTATGTACCTACGCAGAGGGTATCTCAGCCAGAAAAAGAGGGAGTGGGGGAGACTTTATAGAAATCTTTGAGAGTGAAATTGTTGGTGTGCCATAGTAATACTGTTTCTTTTTGTTTCCTTCCTGAAAAAGCACCCCTTTGGTTAAACTACTTGACAAACTACAGAACTGAAGTTATTGATAAAAGTGTATTTCAATCCTAGTTCACCAGCAGTAGTGAACTCGATCTAATAAAAATACACAGATTTATCTTTTCATTTTTAAATACTGAATTAACATTTGAATTAGGGGTTGTGTGTAGACTCGAACTGTCTCTGCTGTATCTGGTCTTAAGATAGAGGTTCTCTGTTTTAGGCTGGCACCTTTCACAAGACCAGTGGACCAAAGAACAGTATTGTACTCCACATAATTCAGAGTGACTTTATATTACATCAGTTGGAATTGTGGATGGATTGCTTGGTATTTGGTTACAAGTATCTAAATTTGCTTTAAAGTATATGTAAAAAGATGGTGTTATTTAACCTCCTTCAGCTGCAACTAATTTGTAATAGACAGTTCTGGTCTTAAGACAAATTGTGTGCTTTTTAAAGAATGTATTCTGCTACTATCAGCCTTGAGCAAATTACAAGGAAATGTAAATTGCAAATAGGTATATTAATGTATATATTTTCAGAAACATTAGAATGCAATTGGAATGAGTGGCTCACAACTGTATTTAGAAGCTGTTGTGTTGTAAGGAGGAAAACCTTACAGCCAGGACAGAGCAACAAGTATTTTTCTTGTCTTGTCTTTTCTTCTTACTATACTTTGTATAGTATAGTTATACAGTGGAGTATAGAATACTGTATTTTGTATAGTAAGAAGGCCTGAAAAAAGTTTCTCAAAGAGATCGTGTCAACCACCATTCGTATTGTTGACTGTTTCAGACGTGCTTCTGGAGCTTATATCACATCAGGTCATTCTCTTCATTACTTCAGGCCAACCTGGGACCATGATAAGGAAGGAGAGACTGTTGAATGCTTGTGATAACTAGCATACATGTGTTATGTCATCTAATATCCCTGCTGCTAGACAAGTAGTAGGGGATCATGCAGTTCATCAGCTACCTCTTTTTTTTGTTGCTGTTGCAGGTATTCTTCCCCTCTAAATTGCAGATACATTTTGTGTGATTTTTGTTTTCTGTGGTTGGTTTTCTCTTTCAGTGAACAATGCATAGAAGCATATGAGCTGCTGTTGGCATTGGCAGAAAGTGAGCAGAGTCTTATTCTTGGGCAGTTCAGAGCTGCAGGTGTTGGTTCTGTTGGTAAGATGTCAATGAATCACTTAATTTAATTTTTTTTTTGCATGTCAGCATTAGAGTTAGTTGTAACAATGAATCATCTCATGACCCATCACTTAAGAATGCTCTCCCGTCTTTTCTTGTTTTTAACTAATTAAATCATTTTACACACCCAAAAAGAAAAAGAGAGACTGGAATTAAATCATAAAATTCACCAGCAATTTAAATTAACCTACGTATATTATCACAAGGGGATGCCTATTCTGGCAGTGGTGGGGCTGCTACAGGCACGCAACTGTACAGGGTGGAATTATTAAATAATACTCATGAGCCTATGTGGCGTAGGGCCACACAGCTGTGGTAACTGCATGTACAGATTTTGTTTGAACCAGCAACACTGACCCCCCTAGAAGTTGAGTATAGTCTGTGGAAAAACTGGGATTAAGACAATACAAAAATGGTGTTGAGTAGTTACCAAAAAACCAAAAACATGGCTCTAGTTTTTCACCCCACATTTTACCTTTGCTCTGAAATGTTAAAACATTCTATCTTATGTTTTACTGTGTTGTCAGGGATATTAGCCTATACGTTCTGGGTTTTTCTTATTTTGTGGATAGTTAATCTTGTGGCTAGGTGTTGTTGGTTTTTAATATGCTGCTTGCTAAGTAATGGAATGAGCCACTATCATAGGTACAGTTCAGAAGTGTTTGGAGCTTGATGTTGCTGCTGGCTCCACTTTTCTGATAGAAAGAGGTGTTTACACAATGAACGATAATCTGGGTTTTATAGTCCCATTCCTTTTACTGATAGGAGAAGGTAGCCGTAGTAATCTTCAAGTAGAAAGAAGGGAAACCTTCAGAGAGAGAAGAATAGCTCTTTGTGCTGTGCTGAGGTAGTAACTGCCTGGTTGAGACAGCATTACAGTGTGAGCTTTTCAGGAATCACTGAAATGTAAACAGAAAGCTTTTAGAGGCAGAGTGACCATCTGGCTTTAGAGCCACAGGACTGACATGGTCAGCCTCTTGCACTCAGCCCAGAGCGGCTGCTAACTGTGCCCCTTATTTTGTATGTCTCCCAGTGCTAGAAGCAGGCCCTTGTGTACCTGTCTTGGCTTGTGCAGTATGTGCCATACACTAAACGTTGGAGTGGGTGGCTGAGATTTTCATCCGCCTTTCTTCTAGACTCTGGTCATTCCTTTCCACAGTGTGCTAGGGAGCCTTCCCTGCTGACAGAGATCAGTGGCCAGCAAAAGAGAATTTAGTCTTGGATTTTCTATTCACATAGGTGGCAGAAAGAAATCTTAGAAGGAAGAAATACTTTGGGTTTGAGTAGGATTTCATCTCACATGCATTTTGTGAAAGAGAGCGTAGTTTAGTTTTTATATAGGTGTCTGTCTACAGCTCTTAATTACGGTATTATCAGCTACAGCCCTGTGATAGAAATAGTGCCAATTTCCCATTACATAACAGAGCTTGGAGGAGGTTGTGTTCGGTTTATGTATCCTTACTTCACCGTGAAATTTGATTAAAACACCTAGATAAAATAGCAGATTTTTGGTTTGAAGATCAGTCAAGTTTTATATCAACATCTCTGAGTGGAAAATTCATGGGAGTTGCTTCTGCATCACTTAGAGCTGAGCATATCCAGCTGCTCTTGACAGAACATTCTCCCTTCCTTTCTTCCGCGTTAATGTTATTTCTAGTGCACTCACTTTACTTAGCAAGTGTGAAGTATGGGTAATTGGTCTTTGACTCGAATAAGGATGAAATGAAAATCTGACATAGGGTAAACTGGGGGGATTTTATACTCTCTGACATCTTTGCATTCTATTTGGTAATGTATGAATATATTGTAGTTTTGTTCAGACTTTCAGTGTAGCCACTAATGTGTCTTACTTAATGACTTAACTCCAGCTGGAGTTAGGACTATAAGAATAGTGACAGTGGTGGTTTCTGTCCTGCCTTTGCTGAAGGGATGGCTTACCAGTTGCATAGATGCTGCATAATCGCTAGAAATTATAGCAAATTAAAAAACACCCGTGCTAGTTTTCTTTTGGCTTAGTATGCATGACTGTAAACTCCGAAAGGCTGCTTCTAAGCAGTAAGGCAGTTCTTCCAGCTGGAAAGGTAACCTGTAAGAAGGTGTTCTGTTAAACCATTAGGCTTGAGACAAAGGTGCTTGTGAGAAAAAGCACTGGAAATGACCGCACTGTGAACCAGCACTGGACCGATTGGAGTAAGATTTGTAATTTAGGCTGAGGCTTTTCCAGTGTATTATTAGTTTGAGCATCCTAACCTAATCCTAATGCACAATGCACACCCTTACAAACAGACAAGCTAATTAAGATAAATCATCACTTAAGACATGTCCCTGGAGCTTGGGGCTGGGAGGGAGATCCATAAAAGCCAGTAGCCCAGTTACCACTGATGCTTACAGAAGTGAAGGTGCTTTTACGTCACGGATTGGTAATTTATTGTCATTGTCTTGGTGTAAACTGAGAGTGCGTAGAAGCATCTCTACTCCTGCCTTAATTTCTATCACCCTCCTCAAAGCTCTGAAACAGATTGTTTGCTTGAAAACTAGGGGACCAGACAGGTGATGAAAACATCACCCAGATGCTTAAGAGAGCTCATGACTGCCGCAAGACAGCTGAGAACGCAGCAAAAGCCTTGCTGATGAAACTAGATGGGAGCTGCGGGGGAGCCTACGCAATCACTGGCTGTAGCGTGCAGCCCTGGGAAAGCCTGTCATCCAACAGCCACACAAGGTAACGGCAAACTCACCTGCTCTTCTAATCCCCAAGTGTTTGATTTCAGACCAAAAGTTATGTTGTGTTGTATTTGCTGAACTACCTCCCTCACCTCAGTCCACTGGCTTCTTTGCTTTGATTTATAAGTCACCATGCCTCAGTGATATAATTGTCTTTAGACTTTGAACAACTCCAGCCAAGAAGGATTTTGTATAAATTTGTTGCAAATGGGTGACTCTGAACTTTGATCTTCCTCATAAAGGGCGAAACCATTACATTTGTTTTACATCAGTGGCTCTCTTGCTGTTTTATTGGAACTCAAATCATGTACTTCATATTTATATCTATTGTATGCAGACAGCACAGACATATGGACAACCAGAGATCAGAAATATGCTTCCATCGGCGTTTTTGGAGTGTTCAAGAATTGTTTTCTAAATGTTGCAAATCCAGCCATTTAGTTCTAAATAATTTCCTCTCTCTTCTCATTCCCCTTTGCCCCACTCCAAATTCTTCCTTCCCATACTATTCTTTCACAAGTGGAGTGGCAAATGAACATCATGACAGGCAGAGTGGATTCTTCCAGGAAAGGCTGCATATTGCAGTTTTTCTGAAGACCTATAAAATAATGAAACTTAAATGAGCTATTATTGTGGAAGTGTTCCAGTTCAAATACATCTGCTAGCAACTTCACTTTGAGTCATTGCCTGCCTGCAGTGTAATCGTACTCTGTGCAGTGAATATGCGTGCTTGTGTACGGATACAAATTTGGCAAGTATCCTGGATAAATATAGATTAACATTTTTCTTTTTAAAAGTTATTTTGGTTTCTCAGATTCACTCTAAAACTTCATTTTAATTTCTTTTTTTAAGCCAGTTCTTTTTTAAAATGCTGTCATTTTTTGACACTTTTAGAAGTTTATTTTAGTACTATGTCATTGCCTCTTCTTGCTGATGCCTCCTCCAAAGGATCTTATTTCCTGCCATGTGACTAGCATGGAATAGCTAAAAAGTGAGCAAAAAGGTAACCTGAGGGAACAGGGTCCAAATGTCAGGTAAATTTTAACGTTTTCTTTGAAGAAGTTTTATGGTACACTTTCAGTCCAAGAAAGCTGTATCTTTATTCAGAAATTAATGTGGCAGCATTTGCGCTAGTAACACATTGATCACTCATTGTACCAGAAGTATTTACTGGCCTGTTTTAGTGTTTGTTCTCCTAGCCTTTCACTGAAAGTGTTTGGTAGGAATATAGTCTCTACAGTCCTTGCTTTGTTGAACATCATTTTTGGTTTTTTGAGGGGGAAGATAAGGGAGGGAGGTGTGTGTGTTTGGGGAGGAAAATAAAATAATCCCTCATGCTCGTTGTTTACTGTGAACTTTTGGTGGTCACCTGGCAGTGTGTGTATGTGTGCACGTAACGTGTTGGCTGAGTAGATAAAGTTTCAGCAGAGTATGATTAAAATGGCATAGGATTTCAAATTTCATCAGTATAAACTGTGTCATGAAATGTAAAAATGCAAATGTGAATGCTTCTGTGTGCAAGAGAGGTGTTTTAGCTTGAATCATTATCATTGTAAGATAATTTTTTCTGGTGTGGAGCAAGATATTGTACTGAATAAGTTAACTATTGTTATCTGCTTTGGTATTTGTGGAACATGAGAGAGAAAAGCTTCTCTCACTCACCCAAATGGCACACAGCAAGTCAGGAACTTGTCATATGGGCATCCTGATCTGATCATCACTTACACATTGTCATCCCTCTCCCCTCCCCCCACGCCAAATGTAATTTGTCTTTGTCTAAACATACATATCAGTGACAATATTTCTGAAACTTTAGCTTCTCCATGAAATACTGATCTTCTCTTCTTTCCTTCTGTTGTGTTCAAGTGATATGTGGTAGAGGTGTTTTTAGATTTCTCCTTCCTGTGGACCCTGTCTCAGAATAGAGGTGTCCCCTCTTCAGCTTACAGGCGCATGACACTGTGCCAGCCCATAGATGGAAAATCTGTGTTGGTTCAAAAGGCACACGCCTTTCTATATTTATATCAGCAAATGTTCTATCTCAGGTTTAAAAAATTTAAGATTTTGTCTTTAACTCTCCTCTCCCTATCATTCTGTATCCTTTTTGTTCCTCTCCAGGACCCTACTCCTGCTTTTTGGAGTTACCCTGCCTATGTTGCCAGCTTTTTCAACCCATTCATGCAGGCTCCCTTGTCACTTGGCTCCCTGCTGCTCTAGACAGACTTCCCATTGCCGCAGACCTCCAGCCCTCTATGATTCTTTGGTGTTGATGGTTTCCATTTCCTTTCCTTTTCCATTACAATAGCAATCCAAGCAGAGATAGGAAAGCAGACTGCGGATTTCTAGCTTTCTAGATTTCCTGCAGGCTTAATGTTTTTTGTTTGTCTTAAAGAACTTGCCAGTCTATAAAACTGGGGAGTAGAACAAGCCCACATCGCTAGTGAGTGCTGTGTGAACCACCATTTGGGGACCACTGCACTGAAATGAAAACATTTTTACGTTATGTGGTTCAAACGTAGTCCGAACCCGCAAGACTGATCTTTTGCCATAGCTGTTTTAGTGTTCCAGGCTTTTAGTTGCAGATATGTATTGCTACCTTTTCCCTTTGAAACCAACTGAGTAAAGAGGTAGTGGGATGATGAAAACTGTCCTTTGCTGAGACTTGTGACAAATGAGTAATTGTCCCTGCTGTTCGAAATCCTATAAAATAGGGACTTATAATGGAATTGTTGACCCATCTTTAGCTTTGGCATTTCAAATGAGATTCTGAATGTCAAATCACTGAACACATTACTGAGAATAAATGCTTGGTGAGCCACTAGTGACAAGTGGTTAAAGACTGTAAAAGGGAGCAACTGAAATGAAAAGAAATGAAATGCAATAAAAGAGCATCACAGAGGTTGTTACTGGTGAAGTGAATAAAAATAATAGCAAGCATCTCAACTCATTTGGCTGGCAGCAGCACAATAATATTGCCGATTCGTTTTTTGAAAATAGAAATAGGTCTGCAGTGTAGTTGGAAGTCATAATTTTTTAATGGGCAGAAGCTAACTATAGAACATATATTGCCAACAAGGTTTGACTGATTGCACCTTAAAAAGAAGGAGACAAAAGAGAAGGCCTTGGTTGTAACACTGAAAATGGTGGATTTTATTCCCTGCAGTGTTCGTAAGCATCTGGATTTATGGGGGGAAGATCTGGTCTCTCATATGCAAAGGGAATTCTTTTCAGTATTACGCGGTGTCACAAAATGTCTGAACTCAGCCAAATGTAGGACTATATATCTCATGGGAATCACGTCAGATTTCAGGTAAGTAGCTGACAGACAAGATTATCTTGGCTGAAGTGTGCAAATAAGTTGTTTAGAAATATCCCAACAGATATCTTAATGTTATCTATGTAACACTTGATTGCGGGACTGAACTAGTCTCAGAAGGAAGCAGGGTAGTTTCACCAGGGATTCTGATTTTAGCCAAACTGTTGTTTGGCTTTTGGCTCGTTGCAGTATTTTTCAGTTTCTCAGGAAGTAACTATCTTTTGGCATTATGCTGTTTCAGATCTCAAGCCACTTCACCTAGAAGATGTTTGGCCCACGTGTACTGTGTATCAAATGCATTCTTTAAAGTGTAAGGTTGCGTGCAGACATTCAAGCAAGTTTTGTGGATTCTGTTCTGACAGCGTCATTTTAGTTCTATCAACTTTTGTATTATCCGCACCATTGCTGATTTGCAGATTTATTTATTGACTTGATTTTTAGCAGATGAACTGAAGCTTATACAGGGTTTTATGGACAAAATTTTGTAGTGTACAGAAGTTGCTCACACAGAGGCACTGTTGGAAGCCTCATTTATATCCATCCACTGCATTTTATACCCACACATGTGCGTGCAAACACACACATGCATGCCAGCAAATAAAACTGCACGTTATACTATACCAACCTGCATATTTTCCACAGGCTGTATATGAAAATTAATTTGACATCATCCAGGCATGACATCATTGTAAAAGATTTGAGGGATGAAGTGAGTGGGAAGAACATTTCTCTTTGCTTGTTCTGAATACAACAGCAGTTAGAATGAGCAAATTGATGTTGTATTCCCTCCAGGTGTGATGAAATTGTGATCCTTTCTCTATCCTTACCTGCATGCTTGAGAAATGAGAAACTGCACATCTTTTGCAACAGTTTCATTTGTTTTTTGGATGGGTGCATTTTACTACATATGCATTCTGTCGGTCTGTTTTCCTTTGTCCTGATTGTTGTTAGAAGGGGGAGCAATATCTGAAATTCAGGATCATATGCTCACCTGCTGTGGGCCCTTAAATAGAGCAGCAATGGACTAGCATTCTGGCTGTGGAGAGCTGTATGGTGGGGCTTTTGGGGGAACACGCCCTGGCAGAGCTGTGCTGTGGGAGTTCAGAAACACTGCAGCGTTGTTTCCATCCCTCATCATGCAGCCTCATTTTTACAACAGTCCAAAGCGGGCTTTGTACCCCGGCTTTCTGCAACCCATACTGCTTCCAGTCTTCTGGGTGGGGACTTGCTAAATGTGGTGGGAGAGGGAAGGTTCTTCTCCCTTGGTGTGCTGACTGAGACAGCTTCCTTGCTAAGCTCCCCTCACCTTCTTAAAAAAAAAAAAAAAGAAAGAAAAAAAAAAAAAGAAGAAGAGCAGCTTGCTAGCAATTCACCAGAGGAGCCAACTCAGCTGCAGACAGGCAGGCAGGCAGGCAGCCAGGACTGAAGTAAAAGCAGCCTGAATATCACTGGCAACAGTCCAGACTGCCTTCCTCAGTTTGGACTGCTCTCGCCTAAAATATACGTGCATAGCCGTGCATCTTTAAGGGCCAAAATCTGTGAATACCCAGTGAGTATGAAGTCCAACACAACATAATAATAGACTTTCAGCATTTTTGCTCAGGTTTCATTCCCAGCAGGAGAGCTAGGTTTTCTTTTCTTTGCAAGCGAAAACTGAGATGAGCTCTTTGTGTCCCAAGATTTGAAGCCTGTGTAGGCTTTACAAGCTGTCCATCCTCCAACAACAGCTGTTTTACATTTAATCCAGAAAAGCTGTGCAATTGCTGTCTTTGGGTGCTGAGGAAACTTGCAACGTGACTTCAGTACAGAATTAAGTATTTCTCACATCGTCTGTCCCCATGATTTTTATATCAAATATCTACTTCAGAGAGGTATCTTCAGAGTCAGTAAAGCAAGATCTATTAAGTGTTTCGAGATTCTCTAATGAAGAACTAAGTATGAGCAAAAATTTCTTTCAACCTGAAAGGGTTTCTATGTAGTGTAGGTATGGGGTGGTTTTAGCTTCACTGCAGATGGAAATGCATGAAAACAAAAACAAAGACCGGTTTACACTTGTGGTAAATATGGCACCTATTATCCCTAAGAAAAGGAAGGAATAATGGGAAATTGACAGAGAACTGTAGTAAAGAACTGTAATGCTATATTTCATGAGAGGGGAGGATTTTGAGAAATCTTTGTAGACCTGCCAATTCTCCATCTCCTCCAAGGCTGTGCTTGGAATTTGTGGGAAGATTGGCAATTATCTGAGGCACTTAAAAATCAATGTAGCTTTGGCTGAAGTAGAACCAAAAGAAAAGAGAAAAATCAAGCCTATCTTGATACGCTTCCCCTTTTTCACATGCATAATATATTTTAGGACACCATCCTGACTCTCACAGCATGTAGCGGGTGGGGCTTTTTTTCTTCCTACAAAAATGTTGAACAGCAGTGCAATTTGATACAGAAAGTCATTTATTCCCCTGCTGATAACTGAGATCATCTAGCATTCCAGACAAGCACAGTTAATGGATGACTTATCCCTCACCCCGCAGCTGATTACAGGACCTCAGGAGACAGCAGGCAGCTTTGAGTGAGGTTATAGAAACAACACAGCATTTTATTTTCCTTTTAGTGTTATTGCAACTATATTCAGCCCTGGAATGCTATGGCTGTATCAGTCTCGGCCCCCCACAGCACTGGCATGTGTGTAGGTGGGCAGGCAGCACTGAGCCGCCCTTGCTCTAAGATACTAGTTCTCCCTTTCTGCGATCTCTGTGTCAAACATTTGTGAGGCAGACTAATGGGCAGTCATTTGTTTGATGCCTGTAGATAGAAGTTCCGCGAAGTCTAATGATGACTTTTTATTAAAAACCCTGCTAACTTATGGGTTGGTTTTAAACTCCTCCAGCCCTGAAAGACTGTCAGTGTACTGAGGAATACACCTTAACATGAATTGAAAGATGCTACTTCCTGGCATCTGCCAGTGGAATTTTGCTCAGGTTGATTCCTACAAGTATCCATTAAAAATATCTGAGATGATAACTGATATTGCCATCAGCAGAGATAAATGAGGTCTGGGCTGATTCTTTTTTCTTAGCAGATGCTTCTTCCCAAAGAAGATGAAGACCAGTGGCTGAGCAGCAGAGAGAAGCTTGCCCTGCTAGGGTATTTCTAAGAAGGCTTAAGTAGGTTCCCCCTCCCCGCCCCCCCCCCAATTAAAAAAAAGACTTGTTTCAGAAGACACCATTCCAGAAAAGGTAATTCAGTTACACATCACTAAATATCTGGCTTTGCAGAGAAGTTGTCACATGATTCAATTTTCTCATGCAGCTTAGAGAATTAATTTCTTTTCTGAATTTGCCATACCCCACTGCATCTTCTGAACATTGCAATGTCCAGTCCACGCTGCGTGTGTCCTTTCTGTGAACTTTTAAGTAAGACTCAGATGTGTTGATGAAGTATTGGGAGAGTGTTTGATGTAAAAGTACAGAATTTGTTCCAAATGTTTTTTTAATACCATTCTTTCTCTTTCCAGTACTACCAGTTCAACTGCAAGCAGTTGTGATACGGAATTTACAAAGGAGGATGAGCAGCGGCTGAAAGATTACATCCAGCAGTTGAAAAATGACAGAGCAGCAGTGAAACTGACAATGCTGGAGCTGGAAAGCATCCACATTGATCCCCTTAGTTATGATGTTAAACCTCGTGGAGACAGCCAGAGGCTAGACCTGGAAAATGCGGTCTTGATGCAGGAACTTATGGCAATGAAGGTATTTTATTTATATCCAACAGGCTAACTGCACTGCTGACAGTGCCCCTGTGCTACAAAACATGCTCACTCACACACATGGGAGGCTTTGGTAGCGATCACTGGGTAATAATGGATAACTTTGTTGAAACAAATAATCAGGGCTGAGAATCCAGTAGTCAGAAAGTGACAGGAGGCAGTGCATTAACAGTGACGAGTTACGTGTGATTTGAATTAGGCGAGGACTTAATCCATAGCTCTAAACTTGGAATGCTCTCCTTGACAAAGCAGATGCTCTCTCTGAGAGATATGGCAGCTGAGTTGCTTGAGGGTGACCAAAAGCACAATACAGCACTTCCCAGGAGACAGTTCATTACTTTACTTTACTTACAAGCTTGCAAATGTGCATCTTGAATATTTGTGAACTGAAGCAGAACAAATTCACCTCCTTTTAATATTGCCGTGGGAGGAGGAATGGTGTGTCAGAAGCTATCATCCCTAATGCTCTCCAGCGGTCGGTCGCAAGTCCAGAGCTGTTCTAGGCACTGTGTTGCAATCTGTAGCTCGGTTCAGAGCCCGAGCAAAGAGTGCGGTGTGTAATGACTTGCAGTAACAGACATTTTCGGAGAAAACTCTGGTCCCTCAGGCCTGGTTTATACGTCCAGTTCTAAAGATGTGATCCAGAAAAACTGACCTTTATTGACCAGGTATAGAGCTTATAACATTTTAAATCTGGCTTCTGTATTGACTTTGAGAGAGATGAACTAAAACATAGGAACATACTGAAGGCAATACAAGTGCATTTCTGCATTTAGAAATTGTCTGGGTTTGGTTCAGTTTATATAAGTTTAATTTCCACATGTTAGCAAGTCCTATTTTAGTCAGCTAACAGCAGATATGTCAGATGATGGTATCATGTGGGTCAGCAAATCTTAACAGTTTCATAAGCTTCTAAAGCTGTAGATTTTTGTTCAGATGTGCTACTGCTGGCTACCTGGTAGCTGAGTAATGATAATTATGTTCTTAGTGGTGCTTTTCCATGCCTTTCCATGATGACAAGTACAATTTTGTAACAACGCATTCAATATTTGCAGTTCGGAAAAAAAGATTGTCTGCTACCAGTCAGAAGATTTGAAGTTATGTTAGTTGTTTGAATATATTGTGGCCAACAGCAATATATTTCCCATAACTGAAGCATGCAAAATGTACTGGAAGATATTTGTAGATTATTCAGTGTATATTTCAGATACCACACTTCCTTCTCCTCTTTGCATCCAGATCTTCCCTGAAATCTCTTGTACACCATTCTTATCTCTATCTTTAAATTGATTGGTAAAGGCAAACTGCAGAGCTATCCCTTGTGATTAGTGCCCTTGCATTCCCTGACCTGGCAGGAACACCAATAGTTGCATATCATAATTTCTGGCACAGTTTTGAGTGTTGGTAATCCTTTTGTTCACTAAAGAATCATCTAACTTGTTTTTGACATATCATGTCCACTCATAACTTTTGGGTGGACCTAGCACATTGGGTTTTCACTGCAGGAATTGTCCCTAGAAGAAGAAGAAGAAATCTTTCTTCTTGATTGATTTGTGTGCCATGCATACTGGAATAGACATACATTTTACATAGGTGGCTGAAGTCACCTTCAGTCCTTTCTGGTACATGGAAACTGATAGTACTGTTATTCATTATAATTTGTTGTACTTTTCTGGAATTCACAACTGCAGGAAATCCCTAGGTTTCTGAAAGGGATATGGTGAAAACTCAAGTTTGTCAAAGCTTGGAATGGATTTGTCGGTAAGTGCTCTTGTGCTACAGAAATTGAAAACCCCTGCCCTTCTTCTATGCATAGAGCATTACAAAAGGCACAGCTACACTCCACGTACTTTGGTCCCAAGAGAATATGCTACCTTATTAGCATCCATGATTGTTGCTCAGGTCTGCATTACACCTTGCTTATATGTTCAGCAAGCTAAAACACAGCTGAACTTAAGGGCAGGACTCATGGATGTCTTGGCTTTCTGAGCGTATTGTTTGTATCTGTTACTTGGAACATGTATCTCATACAGAATAGTGTATGCATCTGCCTTCTTCTGAGACAACTGGAGAATTTAAGTTTCCTTACGGTATTTTATTTAACTTGAAGCAGATGGATTCATCTGTTCATCATGTAGCAGCTCTTAATTTGCTCCCTCCCTTCCACATTCTTGGCAAGGCTGACACAGCTTGATTGAGCTACTCAAGGATTTCCTGCATTGCTGGGTCTTAGGACCTGCTGTTGTCTTCCTGAAACTTGTATCTGTGGGGAATCTCTGCTGCATCTTTTGGCACCTTTCATTTATGACTCCCAGTAAAAACTGATCACCACATCAGTCATATTGCTTCTTGCATCTGTGTGTTATGCTGATAATGTTCTGAAAACGCCTTTACACCATTACTTCTTCATTATTGATGAAAATGATCCGTAAAAAGATGGTTTGGGGATGGTTTCTCTGTTGCCCTCTTTATTTTTTTCACTGATCCAGAGTGTAAGACGTAGCGGTCCGTAGTACTTCTGTAAAATCCAATTCTTTGCTTCAAGCAATGATTAACCATGTTTCCAAATATATTCTCATCTGCGGTTTGTCATCATTCAGTGGTCTTGCTTTGAGGTCAGTTGTTGTCATGCCCCAGTTAGCAAGGAGATTACTTCTGATGGGTGTAAATAATTCTTGGTTTACAGCCTTTCTGCATTTCAAAGGACTTAATCTAGATAAGAAGTCTCAGCTTTCTACACTGGTAATTTGTCCTCTTTTGTGTACAGGTGTTGATAATATTGCTCATAATGTGCTTTGAGGCTACAGTCTCTTTGCGGAAAATGTTAAGAATCCTGTTGTCCACCTTTGTTACAGCATTTCATGCTTTTATAGATGTATAGAGTAAAATACAGTTAACTAGAGGGTGGCATTTATCTGCTCAGACATTTGTTTTACTTCTGAAGGCTTACTTATTCCACCTTGTGTACTCTGATCCTCCTGGAGCCCCTTTTCATGACTTTCAGAACTTTTTGCCACATAAGAGTCCTTGCTGTTTTATTCTTCCGACATGACCACATCCAACACAAATTTTAATTTTGAGGATACTGTGGTTTTTCTAATTATATTGAGTCCAGAGTATTTAATTTTCATTCAAGTTTTCACCCAAATTCAGAATTACAATATGACTGCAAGTACAAAATATTCCTCAAAATATTCAATTAATTGGTCCTGAAATGACTGCTAGATTTGGTGCTTGAAGCTTGTGAATTTGCATGGGTTGTGTAAGTCTCCTGCAGTCAACTGGAAGGGTGACCACTTGCTACCTCCTTCTTCAGGGTTTCATTTTGTAGATGCCACTTGTGCTTTAGGCCCACACTCTGAAGAAGCAGATATGTTAAACTGCAAAATGTTTCACCAGCATCCTGTAATTAGAAAAAAAGGTGCTAGTAAATATACAAAGGTGATGTTGTCATTGAAATTAAATTTAGACACTATCTTTAGAAAACATATATTCATGGAAAAAATTACTGCATATGTAAAGACTAACTCTCTAAGTAAACCCGAGCTACTTAAATTTTCCCACATGAAACGTTACTGTTGCCACCCTGCCTCACAGATTGTATGTGTCCATACCAGAATCCTCAACTCTAACTTTAATTTTTAACTTCAACCTTTCCATTCCTTCCTGTTCCTTCCCTAGGAGCCTCTGTAAGACACTGGCCGACAGTTCTTCTACTTTTCCCCTGCTTTGTCTTTGCTTCTCTGCTTCAAAGTCACATTGTCTTGACATGAGAAAATTAACATATGGTGCTTTTGGAGTCCGTTATATGTCTTCTGGGACAGGATGCAAACTTGTAAATTCATATATGACGGCCTAAGCTTACTGTCTTCATAAACAAAGGAGTTAATCATTGATCCTCAAATTTATTTTGAGCTGGGATATGTAGTACAACCAAACATCCAGTCTTTAAGTTAAAACTTCTAAGTGATGGGAAAAATCAGTTCCACAGATTCATTGTTGCAGTGGTTAAATTCACCTTTTTCTTTTAGGAAATAAATGTCCCTTATTTCTAGGCTGAGTTTGCCTAGCTTCAGCTTCCAGCCTGGGAAGATCTTGTCATGACCCTCCCACATAGATAGCCCTTTGTCAAGGGTATCTTCTATTCACATAAGTGCCAAAATACTCTGCTCAAATTACTTCTCAGACTTCTCTAAGCAGGCTAAGTAGATTAATGGCTTTAGAAATAGAGGCTTAAGAAGCTAAATGCATACACTTAAGTATACCAGAAAATCCAGATCAACTCCTATAACTAAATTTTCCCATTATTATTTATCAGTATTATTTACATTTTTACTGTTGACAAAGGAAATTAATGATAAGTTTGCCTAACAACTAAATTTCTGTAAACCACATTGAATGAAACTGATTGTGCTTCTAACCTTCAGTTCATAAACAAGTAGATGCATAAATGAATTATTTTAAAGCTCATACAAACCTTTCCAAGCCTGAGGGTTTTTAGGATATGGATTTTGTTTTTGCATGGTTGGTGATTCTGAATAAGCCAATGATTGCCTGTGATTACTATATTCTGGTTGTAACTGTGGTATACCTGTGTGCACTGCTTACATTTAATCTAGACAGCAAGTTTTTGGTAGAAACGTAGATTCTCTTCTACAGAAAAAGTTAGTCTAAATATATGCCAAGATTTGTGTTTGTATAATCTTTATTAATAATGCATATAATACAAAGAGCATTATTTTTGAAGGATAAGATTGTGACTAGAATATGGTTTTTTGTTTTAAAAAAAGAATTAAAAAGTAGTGATTTGTTCCTAGGCTGGCCGCACAACAGAAACGTCTATCTTTCAGAGATGTTTATACAGTGAACAAGTCTAGAACTGAACTGTAATACAGAAAATGGCTGCATGAACTCAGTATTCACACATGAGGTGACCTAGGGCACGGCAAGCTCAACAGTGAGAACATGATTCTGGGTTGGGCTTTTTTTGTTTTGGTGGTCTTTTGTTGGTTTGATGGTGGTTTTTTAACACATGATGTAAATAATATTTTAGGACTATCTCTTTAAATGTTTTGTGGATGCTGGGTTTTCCTGGGTTCAGAAAATAACTAGACATTCATGGAAGAAACTTTTCTGAAGTGTTGTTAAATACAAAGAGCCTTCTGGTTAGGATACCCATCAGCCGCTTTTCATGGGAGGCTGGGAGCAAGTGCTGAAAGAAGGGTCGCTGCACTCATGCCTTGTTCTTACACTTCTGCCCAGCCACTGTCAGAGCAGATGTTAAAGCAGAGGTCTGTCCCCAAATAGCAGTTGTTGTGTTACAATAGTTGACAGCTCTGTCATAAATATCAGAGTGGCAGAAGAATTACACACAAGAACTAGCTCTCAGAATTGAGCTTCTTTCTGTGAAGTACCAGTGTCCATTTTCTGTGGATCATATTTATGGAAGAATATAAGCGAGCGCAATTTTGTCAACCTCCAGTTGTGTATAGTTGGGAGTCTGGCCACCTAGAGGAGGGAAATTAAAAATGGACATCCGATGATGCCATACCCTGTTGCCCTTTTTGACTAACTCAATCTGCCATGGAGGATGGTATTATGAGACAGGAATATGTGATCTGTGTTTGCTGTCCTGGTACCTCGAACCTATTCCACTGTAATGAGATAAACCAACTCTAATTCTTATGTATCAATAAGAAACTGGAATCTGGCATTTAGGGAGCTGTTTGGCAAGCTGAAGTCAGACGCTCCTGTTTTTAGGGCAATAGTGTCTGAAGGGCAATGTAGAACCAAAGAAATTTCAGCAGCTCTGGTAACCCTCTCAGATCCCTGATACTCTAGTTTCAGCACATTAGCTGCTCTGTTGCCTCTGAGCTTATTTCTGAGTCTGATTAAGGGATAGGACAGCTCTTCATACTCGCTTAGTCTCAAGATATACTGGTCTTTTGACAAATATACTATGTGATTATAAAAAGCCTTCTGGATGCTGATAGTGCTCTCCATGGAAAGAACACTCAAGTAATAGGAGTTGATGAAAACCTTGTTTAACCTCCTCTTCCCTTAGGTGTGTAGTGCCCTGAAGCAGCATGCTGATAATGTTTCTTCAACAGGAGGAGATGGCAGAGCTCAAGGCACAGCTTTACCTGCTAGAGAAGGAAAAGAAGGCATTGGAATTGAAACTGAGCACTCGAGAGGCCCAGGAGCAGGCCTACCTCGTCCATATTGAGCACTTGAAGTCTGAAGTGGAAGAGCAGAAAGAGCAGAGAATGAGGTCTCTCAGCTCAACCAGCAGCGGAAGCAAAGACAAATTGGGCAAGGTCAGGAGTCAAACAAGTTTCCAAAATCGGCATAAACACAATTTATTGTACCCTTCCCTCCCTAAAGCAGTCTTTAGCAATGTTAATCATTCTCCTCTTTTGTCTATATGTACGTCTTTTCTCTCTTCTCCACTTGTTAGGTCGTTCTTTCTATGCTGTGACTTATGAGGACTTTGCAGAATTACTGTTAAGCCTGGGCTAAAATAGGGTTGTCATTTTGTGGAGGAGTGCAACACAGCCATTCTTGCCAAATGTACAAGCTACTGTGGTTGAACATGTTGTGTCTTGCCTGTTGCTGCTCACTGGATACAGTGGAAGAGAGTCTAAGCAAAACACCATCCTCCCCCTGCTCCAAACACAAAATATGAAAAAATAGAGCTCATTTCTATGAAGCAGTTAGAGCGTTGTAATGACAGTCTCTTTTTCCAAGTCAGATAGTTTGTAATGATTTGAGAATGAAGACTTTTCCCCCTTAGTATAATGCAAAATAAACAGATTTCTGCATTTACATTAATAACTTGCATGAAGAAATAGTGATGCCTAGAAAAACTTTACTCCTGTTATTTTACTACTGTGTCCCCAAAAAACCTCAGTAATATGTTTAAAACCAAAATCCAGAGCTAGTGTATAACTGTGTCTTTCTTATCAGCATCATCTGCATTGTTTGATCCAATGCTTCTTTGTTTCAAGTGTGGTGTCAACGGTAATATAAGGCACCAGCAGTTATGCACACTATAGCAGAATTCTGCAAATCAGTGAGCTGTGGTGGTTTAGGAAACATTTAGAAGGGTTTGTGAAGCATTAATCTGTTGGTCCATTTCTTGGTGTGTTGATACACTGCCATGTTGTTGTGACATTGTGATGTTTATTTTACTTCCATTTTAAAAGTAGCTGCGAACTAAGAGGTTTTCAGAGGTTTCCCATTAAGATGGTAAGTAACTTCAAATTAGATGGCCTTTCCTCATTTCTCAGGAATGCAGTGATGGCACCGCAACACCGTTAACACTAGCTGAGCTGAGACCTTACAACGAGAGTGAACTGACTGCTGAACTGACAAACGCACTCAGGCGGTAAGCAGCTTCCTTCACCAGAGACATGACTTGTTCTGTAGGTCCAGGGTGAGGTTCGGTTCTGAGCCTTTGCTCTTACCCTCACGTGATTTTAAGAGTGATCACAGATTTTTCCTGTGAGAAGGAAAAGGATCGAAGTTCTTCTAACCTTCCCCTCTGTTCTGCTGTTGTTCTTCAGCTGATGAAAGTCCTCGCATGGTGCTCAGCTCCATTCCCCTTGAGGTTCTCTAAAATTCAGATTAACTGTATCCCTAAGAAACCCTCAAAATGTCAGGAATGTCCATATTCAGGCAAGTATATGAGACACAAAACAGTGACATGACTTGCTTGAGGGCATGCAGAAAACCTTCAGTGAAGACAGGATTTGAAGTGTGACCTTTGGTTAAGAAAGTTGGTCGCAGGTTAGAACTTGGGTAGGAGTTAGGGGAGTGGGAATTGCAGTGATTTTGATGACTTAGATGCTGCATTTGCCTACTGAGTATGTAAGTAGAGCCACAGTTCAATTATGGATGACATTGTTGTGTGAAGCATTAGCTTTCCAACGAGAGAGAAAATTGATGACTTGACAAACTGCTTTTATCAACAGCCAGGTTTTAAGCGAAAACTTTCAGTACGGTTATGCATTAACTAGGTATTTGTTTGCGCAGCAGTTTTCACTGTACCAGCTATGTGGTAAACTTCATGACAAAGATATGCCCTATTTCAATAGTTGTTTCAGTACTTGTTCCACCTTTTCTAAAACATTGCTATCTAATAATCTGATGTGGTTATTGTATTTAGAACCTGTCCAAAATCCTACTAAGAATTTTGGCTGGGAAGAGTGTATTTTGCTTTTCTGGTGTTTGCACCCTCTTTAATGGTGGAATGTCCTCTCAGGCAGCTGTGGTGTTTCATTCCTGAAGTGCTTTTTTCATAGGTGCAACTTGTAGTGTGCCTAGGGACACTTGAGCCTGAAAGGCATTATGTAAAAATGTAAGATCGTTACCACTGCAGAATCAATACCTCTCATACCATTTGCTTAATAGTCTGGCAGTTGCTGAGTATTTAGTTTGCTTGATGCAGGAAACAAAATTCTGTGGTTAAAATAATCAAAACTGTCGTTTGTGTGTGGGCAGATAAAACCCATCAACAAAGTCATTTGCATAAACATTGCATAGAGCCATTGGCCTCCCCCATACCCCGCCCCACTCCAGTCCCGGTGTGAGCAGCTCCACTGGCATTTTCTGTCTTCATTCAAGCTGCAGCTTTTTCCTGTTGCTGTTATTTGCTCCTGGATTTCGAGAAGATGCTAGTGACCTTAGTTAGCGGAGGCTTGAGTACGGTCATGAAATGTGGTTTGCTGACAACACAGAGAAAAAAACTTTGCTTTAATGTACTAGGCCTTAAGTTGATTAGCATGGATTTCCAGCCAGGGGCCTAGCAAGTACAGTTTGTCAGGCAGAAATGGGGAAGAAAAATAACTGGATTTAACCGTACATAAATTTTGGAGTGAAGACTCTCTGCGTAATGGAAATACAACTGTACTAAGTGTGATTGCTACTTCCAGTGGAGCTCAAGCACCGTTCCTGGGAGCTGTGTGGACAGGGTATTTTTCTCCCTAATCAGACTGCCAGCCAAGTCAGGCTGAATGCTTAGTCCTCTTATCCTGAAGCCTTCTCTCTGAAAGTCTGTAGATGGTCTGTCTGGCACATGGAGAAAGCTTACTACAACCTGTTTAGCCACAGCTATGCTAAAAAATACCAGCAGTTCCTGATGGCCATCCTGGATAAACGGAGCCTCAGATACCATGATGAAATTTATACCATCATGGATCCACAAAGGAGTTTTAAAAACAATCAAAATGCATTTTCCTCTGTGAAAGTGCTACAGCACTGCAGAATGGTCTGAAGTGACTGTGATATCTTTAGGGACAAAGTGGATTTAACCCTTTGCACTTAGCATGTGCCGATCTCTCAGTGCTCTTCCTGCTTCTATGGGAAAAAAAGTGTTGGCACTGTGTGTGAACCAGGAGAGATCCTGGCGGCTCCCCCTAGCACCCTCCTCACCCTCCAAAGGAGGAGGACCAGAATTCAAAATAAAAAATATTTTGCCCAGTAACTGTTCTTGCTGGTGGGCAGGAGAGAGGTGTGAAACAAGTGAATATCGCACACTTAATCTGTGGTCTAGAGGCAATATTTAAGTGCTAATGTTCAGGAGTATTTCAGTTCTGGTTGCACTTAATGCACACATCCAGCAACTGAACCTATCTGTTGTTCCTCCAGGCAGTAGACACTGGTGCAGGGGACAGCAGCTGCAAGGGTAGGGGCAAAAATCCATTTGCTTTTGAGTTTTCCTGTTTGTCAGAGATTTGTGATATCAATCAGCAACCCTGCTTGCTGCCCCCTCCCCATCCTGTCTTCACAGCTGCCCTGGCAGCTCCCCCCTCTGCTGCTTTCCCATTCTGTCCTTCTGTTGCTGCAAAACTGTCAGGTTCTTCTCAGTTAATTGAAATAGAGTGAAACCCAAATAAAACAGCAGGACGCAGTTCCAGTTCGGATTTTGGTGTGGTTTGGAAGCATTTATTTGTTCGTAGTCTGGAAATGGCTTTGCAGCAGAACAGTTTTACCCACAGAGGTAGCCTATCTTCTCTCTGCAGATGTGGATTTTCTCATAAAGCTGGAATCCAGCAGCGTGTTGTGAAGCTCCCCGAGTTGTCATTGGTAGTGGCCATCAGCAGAAATTCAAGGCAGGAGCAATTCTTCATTAATTGTTTCATAATGTATTTGTTCTAATAGGACTCAGGATTTCCCGTAGCAGTGTTCGGCATTAAAACCCATCTTGTGGGCTTTCCACAGAAATGGCTTTTCTTTTCCATGATCACTATGCTAACTAGTAGAAATGTAAATTATCTGCAAGTTCCGTGTTGTAAAAGTTACATCTACATTACCAAATTTCTGGTATTGCAGGCTAAGGCCACCAATTTAGAGACACGTCCTGTTCCAGCCAAACATAAATACTTTCTGCCAGAGTCTTTAGCAATTTTGTTTTCCCCTCTCTCCTTTCTTGATGGAACGATGGAACATTTCAATGGACATGAAGCCTGTTGAGTTTTTTCTTGAGTTTGACACATCCATAAACGAACTTGTTGGCAGGAAATATTTTATTCCTGGGAGGGCAAAAATGTATTCCCAGCAGCCTCGTGGCCTGGCATCGACACCTCGATGACTGTGCCAGAGGCTAACTGTAAGAGAGAGAATCTGGCTAAATACCCCAAAATCAGACATATTACACAGTTTCTGAGGGAGATCTTAAAATGACATCTTCCTTTCTGGTGTCTTCTGCTCTGCTGTGGCAGGGGAAGGGAGTGCTGTAGATTACTTGTATGAGTTTATAACTTAGTAGGCACATACCAGGTTATAAATGCGTTAGAGATGGCAGGAAGGAGGCAGTAAGAAGAATTCCAGATAGGAAATGCTTTTGCTTTAGCAGGATGATACTAATGGTGATACAACTAATCTTTTCTCTTTTTTCTGCTAAGTTCTTTCATTCTGTGAAAAATGGCCAAGCTGGCAAGACTGAAACTTCTCCCACTCCCCAGGCCTCATTAGAAATGCTTTGATTGTTGAGGTCCTCCTGCAGTCTATCCTTGTATTTCCAGTTGCTGCTAGCTTTTCTGCCTGCATAGGGTTGTATTTTGTGTATGTATTTAGAGAATCCTTTATAAGCATTAAAATATTTGAGCAGGGAGGATCTGACAACAGGAGGTAAGGGCCGTGGCAGACAAAACACTTTGTAACTAGACTGACTGTTCAGACCTCAACTGGGTCATCAGTTGGCACAAAATTAGGATCTCTGATGGCTGTGCAGGGTTACATGAATTGTGTCAGTCTAGACGTGTTTCAGTATCTCCCTCGCAAAAGGATGACTTTCCCATCTGGCAACACAACAAAGGAGCTATATATTTACAATGTCTGATGACTTTTGAACTGACAGATAACTTGGTAAGATGCTACTAACTGGGAAGTCGCCATGGAGAGGGAAAAGGGTGGTAATCAGCAGGACTGGCAAACACTTCTTTTTCTCTTAACAAAAAGTACATTTTGCACAGAGCTATGGTTCTTGCCTCTCTGGAAGTGGAAACTGCAGCTATTTCTAGTAGGACATAGAAAATTCATCCTATTGCAATAGCTTCCGTGTGTCTATTGGGACACAGTAATGTTCTTCGCAGTTTTAGGTCCCTATGCCCGTCCGAAGACTGCAACCCTGTGTTGTGCCAAACTTCTTGTTTTGAGAAAGCAACCATTTCAACAGAAAGCTGTGCCAAGGCACAGCAGTGACTATTTCCTGACACAACGTCAGCCAGAGGTAAATCAAGCCACCTATCCTTTATTTTAAACTTCCACAAACTTCATGTGGTGACATCTTAGCTTGGCATGTTTTCAAGGGCCACCCTTATTTTTATGATAGCAGGATCCAGGCGTAGGTAGAAACATCTCTGAAATTCAGGCCTATTTTGACCATCAGTAAAGCTAAGTCCTGGAAATGGAAAGAGAAACGCCTAAAACACATCATATTGTAATGATTCAGATTTAAAATGGCTCTTAAGAATTGAATCAGTAAAATCCTCTTTCTGTTTAGCCAAAGTACAGGATGAACATACAGTTGGATAAAAGCGAGGGAGGGAGGCGGCGTTGGTATTCAGGAGCTACCGATGAGTTTTTTCCAGTGCATCGTCGGCTGCTTTTTATGAGTTACATTTGCTTGTTTCTGTTCTCTCATTATCATGTCTACTAAATGAGGAGGTATGCAACTCTGAGACATTTGAAAGCCAGAGACTGGCATGGATCTCTGTCTTTTTTATGACTGTGCAGTCTCCTGAGGTGGTTTCCCTTGGCTGCCTGGGGGGTTCAAGAGACATGGCCCGTCTCTGGAAATCCCCCCGGAGAGCCCCACTGAGAGAAACCTTCTCACAAGAAGAGAAATGGCTCTTGGCGATATAAGGTACAGATTCCTCAGAAGTG